CACTGTTGCGTAAGGCCATGGGAACGCTTTCGCACACATCCACCAGCATCAGCCACCACTTAGCCGCTATTTCTACTTACACAAACGCGCCGGTACTTCAGATAACCTAATCTAACTAAACAGGAAATTAATTTTTATTCTCTCAGTGATTGGCGTCACTCCATTATTATCACTTAACGATATTCATTCTGATAAGTTGATAAGGTTCTGTAACAGATAAGGAACGATTGTCCGTGATTTTTTTCAGATGTTTGTACATATTGTTAGTAGCAAAAAAGAGGTCTTAAAAACTATGTTAGTAACATTTCTTGGAAAAGATTAATTCTAGTTTAAAGAATTACAAGTTCGCTACGGTTGAGCTTGACTTATTAAAATACTGGTGATCCGCCCCGGCTTTGCACAGGTGATTTCTGGATATCGACAACTGCGCCATCTACCGAGTCCGATTGCAACTTAAAACCATCCAAGGAAATACGCAAACATAAACAAAAATAAAATAAAAAATAAAAATAATCATCAAAATCGAGTTCGCTAACAACACACGTACATAAGAACTATCTAACTACAGATATGAATATAAACATATCTATACGTATTGAAATGAACGTGCCATTGTCATACTCACCTGTCCTTTGATCTCGATCAGTGAACTGTATATCCAGACAACGCTGTCTCATTTAGTATACAGTTTCAATATGTATATTATACCTAAGGCACTTGTCCTACCGCCAACTATGAACAAGAAGCTATTAGAGCTAGAAGCTAGATAAAAGTATGCGAGCAGCGAGAAGCGAGTGTGGGTCCCTCTACACTACTTGCGAAGTTGTTCGAAATTGGGCGAGGAGAATAGTGTAGAGAGGTACTTCGATTCGCTTCGCCTCGGGTGACTTCCGATCGCCGGGTCGCCATGGGATTGTAGGTAATTATTTCACGCAGGTAGCAAGAGTGACAGAGGCCTCCTTTTACTTAGGGTGATTTTTATTAATGTGAGCCTTGATAATTTAGGGGATAATTATTCGTCGTATAATTTCATAATATGTGACAAACCGAGTTCGACCCTGCCGGCACTTCTAAATACATGGTTAATTTCAATCTGTAGGTCCTAATTAATCACGTAATCGGCAATGAAGGAAAACATCAGGAAACCTGCATGCAAACATGAGGAAACCTGCATGTCTGAGTAAAAGTAGCAAAAAAAAAACAATTTCGAGGACATGTGGAGGTTTTCTAAACGCATAAGCATGTGCATCCGTTTATGAATATGCCTGTGCCCAACAGTAGCATGTATTGTATACAGATAGTTATCTTGTTTATATTTTAAACACTGTATTTTCTAATTAACTAATTACAGAATTTGTGTGATGGCGCTATGTTAGATAAAATGATAAGTCCATAATATACTCATACATACTAAAATAATAAACTCACCCAGGCATTCTAAGTTTGTGGTGCTCATACTTGTATTGTGTACACGCGTGTCTTGTAACTGCAAATGTGAAGAAACATAAATAGTTAAGATTATACTCGTTAATTCGAGAGCCGTGGTAGATCAGCGCCTAAACGCCAGTAATACTGATATAATGTGGAGCGAATGCAAATTTAGCTAGTAAATAAAAAGAAATATTAATTAATAAGCGCTCAAATATACGAATAAACTTTTATAGTGTGTGTTCGTGCAGAGTTGTGTGTAAAGAGTACAACTATATGAATCACTATGTTCATGGTGCGCAAAACCACGCACCGTGTGTACTTTGCTTTAGATCTCAAATTCTCAACAAAAAACATACCCATAGATATATGATCTATGGACATACCTTAGATGTACAAAATAATTGAAAATAATCGATGCATCTACTCTCAGAACTGCTATCTCAATAAGGTGTCAGCTGTAGTGATGCGACGTACTATGTAAATTTTGTACTAGGTATACTTAGTCCAATTTCGTACAAATAATCCAACCAAATACCTGTTCCACCTAGTCCATGAAGTACGTATAAAGTTTAGTATTATTACACTTTAAAGTATGCTTAATCTTTACGTACAGCAGATACGTGAAGGTAATGAATAATATTCATCCATTCAACTTTACATCGGCTTAAGACTGTCAACGTCAAGATTTATCTACATTCTAGAGATCTAGATTGTTGGCGTATAAGGTTTAAATAATTTTTTTTGAAGAGTTATCCGATTTTTGTCTTTTTTTCGTTTATTTTTTATTATTATTTTTGTTTCGTGATTTGATTGCCTGTCTACAATCATTGTTTCTTTATATACGCTCATAAAACTAATTAGTCTTAAGAATTTTTAAAACTAAATTGTATTTTACAAATGTTACGCGCCTAATGTCTAAATAAAAAATAAATCGAAATTTCTTTAACCACATAACAATACTTCGTTACGAAAACCTAATGATAAATAGATCAAGTAGGTATACGGTGCCGAAATCACATTCGAATGAGTCTGTACTAGACACTCGACTGCATCATAATTATATGGTCTCCATTCGCATCGAGTATTTACAAGTACCTAGTGTATAAAATCTGCCGAGTATTTGGTTAAAGTCCCCGGGACTACTGCCGACTAGTCTCGAGTATTGACAGACAAAGATAGAAAGACTGCGGAATGGTGTAGTTAAAAAAGGACGGAATATATTCTTACACACCATGAGTGTGCATCGCGTTACTTTAATATACATTGAAATATAATTCAAATTCAAATGACTGACACGCGAATGATTTAGGAAAACAAGAGTGAGCGGCAAAGCAGACTCGTAACTACGGCAACAAAATGCTACCTCGCTTCGCCTGGCCGGTACTTGTTAGAGATGAATAGTACTAGGTAGTAAGTTTTCAAGTTTTAAGGTATACCTGACGAGAAGATGTGTCGTAGCTTCCCGAACGCTGCCCAGCCGAGTTGAATCCGTCGATTGACCTCTCGGTCGAAGTTGGACTTACCTAGTCGGACTATTTGTCCCAGGTAAACATACTCGTCAACAACTTCGAGCTTAGTGCTCCCACCAACTACCGGCATAGGTAAAACTAAATTATATTTTACAAATGTTACACTCAGCCATTTATGGGCCTTTGTCCGTAAAATGATCCCAAGCGACACTGCTGCATTTTTTAAACAATAAACACTTTAATGTCTTATAAAAAAAAAACGAAAGTTCTTTTACCACATAATAAAACTTTATTACGAAAACCACTTGCTAAATAAGTCGAGTAGGTATCATTCAATACGGTTACAAGATCACATTCGCATGAGTCCGTACTAGACATTCGACTGCATCATATGGTGTCCATTCGCATCGTGTATTTACAAGTACCTAGTGTATAAAATCTGCCTAGTACTTGATTGAAGTCCCTGGGACTATTCCCGACTAGTCTCGATTATTGACAGACAAAGATAGAAAGACTGCGGAATAGTATAGTTAAAAAAGGACAGAAAATATATTTTCTATCTATATCATGCACAACACGAGTGCGCGTTGAGTTACTTTTATATACATTGAAATATAGTTCAAATTCAAATGACTGACACACGAATGATTTACGCAAACATGAGTAAGCGGCAAAGCATACTAGATACTAGTAACTAAGGCAAAAAAAATGCTATCCTGCTTTGCCGCGCCGGTACTTCTTCGATTTGAGCGGGCCGCCGCACCAGTGCCGTGCGACGCGTGGCACATTGAGACTATGTGAATCACGTATTTTAAAAGTTGGAACAGGTGCAACTTAGTCTCGCTTAATACCTAGTGCCTAGATCTGCTCTAGTATATACGTTTCATCTCTAGTACTTGTTCGATTCGAGTGGGCCATCGCACCGGTGCCGTGCGACGCGCGGGCACACTGAGCACAGTTGAAAGTAGGAACAGGTGCAACTTAGTTTCATATAACACTTAGTGCCTGGATCTGTTCTAGTATATACGCTTCATCTCTAGCCAGCTGTCAGCTGTCCGCTGTCACTGTCACTGTCATAGTTTACAAAAACGAAGAAATCAAAGAGTATAATAAGTATATACAGGAAAAGAGAGCCCTCTGACGATATTTTATTGCAGACAAAATTGAACTACTAGCGTCTCCTACAAATTGAATCCGAACTAATTCGCTATATATAGCTATACTATGTACATCATATTAATGTAACTATTATGTTCTTTAATTCGCATACTTACTGAAACAATTTTTACTTTTTTTTTTGTAAAATAATTTATACTTTTAATATTAAAAGTAGGTAAATAGTTTCAATAAGTACACTTGTATTTGTGAGATAATAATATATAAAAAGGTTATTTGCGATGTTACAGGAATGACAATTTAATATGACAATTATTTCATTTTTTATTTTTATTTTTTATTATAAAATGATGGTTGCCAGTATCATAATTGTCATATTTATCGATTAATTCGATAATTATTACGTGTTTTTATGTTAAAATTATAATTTTTTATCAATACAATCACCAATAATATTTTGGTGCAGTTATTTTTATTTTGTAAGTAAATTCATTTTATTTTTCCAAAGTAGCGACATCTGTGAAGCCATAAGACCAACTATAAACAAATTATTTTTGGAAACAAGTTATGGATGGCGCCACCATCCATTAAATTTTTGTGGTTCAAGGCAACTGTCCTACGCCTGGAAGAAATGTAATACATATAGCTTGCTACATATTTATTTATCTATGAATGAATACATAAAAATATTACCTAAATAACAGCTTCCATGTTTCTTAATCAATTTGTATTGATAACGCGATCACTACAATCACAACATTCGTCTCAGTCCGACAGAGCAAACTACACTGCACACTCGAAGTAATGCCAAGGTACAATAAATTATAAATTAACGGAAGAGTTTGGGCGTTGAGCGGAAGATGTATAACTGTACTGTAGCTTTTTATAGATACAAAAGTTCGTTTGTTATTGTTACAGATAATATCCCATGAGTGTAGAGCTAGGTTTGAGTTAATTGTGAGATACAGTGGAAGTGGAATCATAATGACGCGCCCTGGGCCACCAAGTGAAAACCTTCCTACGGTAAGATATGCAGTAATTGTATAATGTATAAATACATGCATTTTATAATGCAAATATGTAAACATACTTTAATTTTTAAAAATGCACAATATTGCAAGTGAATTATTATTCTATCTTTATAATAATTTTAACATGTTTAAATTTTGGAAAAAATGCCACAAATATTATATTTATAGAAGATAAAAAAAGTTAATTAACAAATTCTGTGCAATAATTGTTGACATATTAGTCATATAAATTGTTTAATGTCTGTTTACATCGTGAAGGTGAAATAATTTGTTGAGATATTTGAAAATAATTTATTTCTTACAACTAACATGGCTGAGATGCATTGTAGCAGCAAACAGGAAATCGATAACATGAGTTTGATAACATGTGTTAGGAATAAATTTTTTTCTTTTTAAAAAACGTTACCCCCACACTAGGATTTTCTCCTGTATCGTGGAGGCAGTTTACAAACACAAATTGCACAAGGACAAACATCGAAACCCGGAACAATTATTTGTAGGCCATACAAATACTTGTTCTGTGTGGGATTCGAACCCGCACCCCCCAGCACAGCAACTCATTGCTAAACCACTGTACCATGGAGTCGTCAGGAATAAGGAATAAAATAATGCAAAATACTAATGTAGTGTATGTAATGTATACAATACTATAGATATTATGGTTTGTAATATTTATAGCAGTGGTAGTACAATTAAACTTTGCTATCATAGCTATGGTCACTGGTCAGTACCACTAAATGAACACATCCAATTGGGCAGCTAGTTAAGATCAAGCATGGTGGTTTGGAACCATCAAGGAGGACTTTTACTAACCATATTTATGCATTTGAAAGAAATTTAGCACTTATACACCTTGCCACAATTTTTTTTATATTTAATTATTAGCTTTTTGACGTGGTAGAGCCCTGCTGCAGCTATATTAAGGACCACGCTCTCACAGAATACCAGCGTAAAATAACAGCTTAACAATACTGTATTTCGTATGCTAAGTGTAGAGAACCGGAGACCCTTTTTACTGGAAAAGAGGCATTCCATCTAAGTTCTCACGGGTGACAACGCATCTGCATTTTGATTCGCAAACGAGGATAAATGTAGATGTCTATGGGCCACAGCAACCACTTACCCTCAGGTGGACTGTGTGCTCGTTTGTCACCCTATCCTATAAAAAAAAGCTATCTGCTTCGGTTTCACACGGATGATTCTGGATCTCGACAACAGCGGCACCTACCGGTCCAATTGTGAATCTAAACCATTATTTAATCTACGTAATCGCACACACAAAATTTCATCAAAATTGGTCTAGCCATTTAGGGAGAGTTCAGGCACATACACACGGACAGAAGAATTATATAATATATGTATGTATGCATGTATTATACATATACACCTTCCTCTTGAATCATTCTGTCTATTGATGAAAACAGCATCAAAATCAGTTGCATAGTTTAAAAGACCTAAGTGTACAGACGGCAGGTTACAACTTTGTTTTATACTATGTACATTATAAATTTTTTTATTTATTTAAAAATAAATATATAATAATCTAAAAACTGGCTCAGTATTTAAATCTGAATAGGTAAATATAGTATTAAATAGCTGTTTGATAGATATTTATTTTTTACCCATTTAAACATGCAATTATTTATAATCACAAACATTTTATAAACAACAATTGTTGTTTTTATTGCTTAAAGTTATTTGTGTTTTACAAATCAATGGTAAAAGGTAAATATTTGTTTTAATAAAAGCACATAATATAGATGACAAGATCGAGGTGGAGCATCATTGCGCTATGTTGTGCCGTATTATGGCTGCAGCATAAATGGGTCAGTTCAATCAACGTTGACCAGGCTCTAACAGCATTTTCCATACTTCTACTCTATTCCTTCACTCTGATGAGACTTTATTCCGATATGACCGGAGAGAGCTTTACATTAAGACCAACGGCTTTACATTCTTTCTGAGGCACGGCAATGAACAACCACCATCAACTTCCTGATACTGCTATTGAGAAATTCTTAACAAAAAAACCCAATTTTGGCCCAACCCGGGATTCGTACCTTGGACCTCATGATCAGCAATTGTGTTTACGACCACTAGACCAACAAGGTAGTTATAAATGCGAAAATTATGTTATTGAGATATTACGTCAATAATGGATTCTTTTTGGTATCTTATTCCAGGTGAAACTGGTAGTGGTAGGCGATGGCGGTGTTGGAAAGAGTGCTATCACCATCCAATTCTTCCAGAAGCTATTTGTGACGGATTATGACCCTACCATCGAGGACTCTTACATACAGCATACGGAAGTGGATGGACAGTGGTGCATACTTGACGGTATAGTTGTTTGTATTATCGTCCTTCTTTTAGACGCAGCTTGTTTTACCATTGATCTTTTTCATAACGTGGAGATACGTTATATTAGCTAATGGGAGGTTATCTCTTTTAATTTTTTATTTTTTATTTTCCTTGGTACTTTATTTGGTATTTTACGTGGTAGAGCTGCAGCTATATTATGGTTGTAGCACGAATGGATCGGCTCGACCGGGGAAGGACCACGCTCTCACAGAATACCAGCGTAAAATGTGTTTCGTATGGTGAGTGTAGAGAACCGGAGACCCTTTTGACTGGAAACGAGGCATTCCATCTTAGTCCTCACAGGTGACAACGCATCTGCATTTTGATACTTAATCGAAGATAGATGTATATGTCTATAGGCCACAGCAACCACTTACCATCAGGTGGACTGTGTGCTTGTTTGTCACCCTTATCCTTTAAAAAAAATCCTCTGTCGCCTCTTATGACACCCGTGATGACAAGGGGTAGTGGGTTCTCTTAAACCGCCACTACACGGCGCCTTATGATATTTATATTTAAACATTTTTATTTAAGTTAGTTTTTTTAACTGTGTGACTGAGGAAATAGTATACAAAATCAATTCAATAATGTGATCTGTTGTTTTCTTTATTGTAATACGGTTACTAAATAATCAAATAATTTATCTTTGTCAAGGTCATAGATATAGAATCAAGGACATAGAAAAACTATTGGATTATTTAGTAAAAATATTTTTTTCATCTGTTTGTCTATTGTAAAAATCTTTAATTAATGGAATTTGTGTTTTTATAGAAAAAAAAATGTTTTTACGGTTTCCGTCTTCATCAGTTGCTAAAAGTACATTGCTGGATATTGGCCCCACCCGAATCCGATCAATAGTCGTGGCAGTTTTTGTTCTGAATTGTTGGGCTAGTAGTATCATCATCATTGCAGCCCTTTAGAAGTCGACTGCTGAACATATGCCTGCCCCAAAGAATGATACAAAGCACGTTCATGACTCCTGTGCCACCTGCATTCATCTACTTTTTTTATAAGATAAGGTTGACAAACGAGCACACAATCCATCTGATGGTAATTGGTTGCTGTGGCCCATAGACATCTATATCTATCCTCGATTGCGAATCAAAATGCAGATGCATAGTCACCCCTGAGGACTAAGATGGAATGCCTCATTCCCCTGTAAAAGGGTCTCCAGTTCTCTACACTCACCATACAAAACACAGCAGCGTGATGCTGCTATTTTATGCTGGTATTCTGTGAGAGTGTGGTCTGGCCCTTCCACAGTCGAGCCGACCCATTCGTGCTACAACTATAACAAAAATATAGCTGTAGCATGGTTCTACAACGTGTGCATAAGTGTTCCTGCATGTCTTACCAGGTCGTCACTCTGTCTAGTGGGGGGTTGTCTTAGTCGTCTAGTATATACTACTCGACTACATAAACAGAAACAGAAACGTTTTTATTCAATTAAGATTATTAATAATACTTATGGAAAGTTATTCTTTTGTTTAATTTCCCACTGGTTTGGAAAAAACCTCTGTTCTGGGAAGAACCAGCAAGAAACCCTGCGGGACCTTTTTCAAAATAAATAAAATAGAAATCTTTGGTTGTGGGTTGCAGTGCTGGACACGGCTGGACAGGAAGAGTTCAGCGCAATGCGCGAGCAGTACATGCGCAAGGGCGACGGCTTCCTGCTCGTGTACTCCGTCACTGACGCACAGAGCTACCAGAACATACGGCACTTCCACACGCAAATACTACGCGTCAAGGACCGGTAACTCCCAACAACTCATTGCTCTTTAGACTTAGCTTTTAATTAGACCATAAACAATCCTGCTAGATTTAGGTATTTGCGAAGATGAAGATTACGCACCAGCCTAGGTGTTCAGTTGTAGGTTATGGTTTAACGCTGATTTCTGTCATCGGTCTAAGTCACGCTCAGAATTAAAATAGAATAGCTCGTTATCAGAAAAAAATTTTTTTTTCATTAAAATTTAATAATAGCTATCTTTTTTGTTAGAATTTTTTTAATCTGTCACTATTTTATAACCACAAAAAATACTGCAAGTATCTTGTATTTTGTCAAATTGAAGAGAACCCACAGGCTAATAAAACTGCAAGATATCCGTCTTTTTATAAATTTGACAAGCACAATTTTATTTATTTTATTTCAACTGTTTCTTTTATTCTCCTTTAATAGTCCAAATAGACGTGTTGTTACGGCATAAGACGAAATGTTTATCGTAAACATTTCGTGGGTGTAAGAGGAATTGACAATTGCAGTAGGTGGCTGACGTGTTACAACAACTTAGAGTCCCCGTCGCCAGTGTGGGTATAGCACGTGTCAATGTGTATATATGTGTGTGTGGACTTTTTAGAGAATAAGGGTGACAAACGGGCACACAGTCCATCTTATAGTAAGTGGTTGCTGTGGCCATAGACATCTTTATCTATCCTCGACTACGAAACGGCAGAATTAAGCTGCCTTTTTACGCTGGTATTCTGTGATAGTGATAGCGTGGCCCTTCCCGGTCGAGCCGAGCCATTCGTGCTACAAGTATAATATAGCTGTAGCATGGTTCTAGCACGGATACAAAGCAACACGTAGCACGTAGGAAATACTTCTGTGCACATTTCGTACTAATATATTGCGTATTAAGTTACGGTCAATACTTCGTAACTTCGTTATTCAATTGTGAACGAGCGAGAAGACGGCGGCCAACAAGGTGGACCTGGTGGACGCGTTGTGTACATGTGTGTGTGTGTGGGTGTGCAGCGAGTCATACCCGATGCTGGTGGCGGCCTACAAGGTGGACCTGGTGGGCGCGTTGTGTACATGTGTGTGTGTGGGTGTGCAGCGAGTCGTACCCGATGCTGGTGGCGGCCAACAAGGTGGACCTGGTGGGCGCGTTGTGTACATGTGTGTGTGTGGGTGTGCAGCGAGTCGTACCCGATGCTGGTGGCGGCCTACAAGGTGGACCTGGTGGGCGCGTTGTGTACATGTGTGTGTGTGGGTGTGCAGCGAGTCGTACCCGATGCTGGTGGCGGCCAACAAGGTGGACCTGTTGGGCGCGTTGTGTACATGTGTGTGTGTGGGTGTGCAGCGAGTCGTACCCGATGCTGGTGGCGGCCTACAAGGTGGACCTGGTGGGCGCGTTGTGTACATGTGTGTGTGTGGGTGTGCAGCGAGTCGTACCCGATGCTGGTGGCGGCCAACAAGGTGGACCTGGTGGGCGCGTTGTGTACATGTGTGTGTGTGGGTGTGCAGCGAGTCGTACCCGATGCTGGTGGCGGCCAACAAGGTGGACCTGTTGGGCGCGTTGTGTACATGTGTGTGTGTGGGTGTGCAGCGAGTCGTACCCGATGCTGGTGGCGGCCTACAAGGTGGACCTGGTGGGCGCGTTGTGTACATGTGTGTGTGTGGGTGTGCAGCGAGTCGTACCCGATGCTGGTGGCGGCCAACAAGGTGGACCTGGTGGGCGCGTTGTGTACGTGTGTGTGTGTGGGTGTGCAGCGAGTCGTACCCGATGCTGGTGGCGGCCAACAAGGTGGACCTGGTGGGCGCGTTGTGTACATGTGTGTGTGTGGGTGTGCAGCGAGTCGTACCTGATGCTGGTGGCGGCCTACAAAGTGGACCTGGTGGGCGCGTTGTGTACATGTGTGTGTGTGGGTGTGCAGCGAGTCGTACCCGATGCTGGTGGCGGCCAACAAGGTGGACCTGGTGGGCGCGTTGTGTACATGTGTGTGTGTGGGTGTGCAGCGAGTCGTACCCGATGCTGGTGGCGGCCAACAAGGTGGACCTGGTGGGCGCGTTGTGTACATGTGTGTGTGTGGGTGTGCAGCGAGTCGTACCCGATGCTGGTGGCGGCCTACAAGGTGGACCTGGTGGGCGCATTGTGTACATGTGTGTGTGTGGGTGTGCAGCGAGTCGTACCCGATGCTGGTGGCGGCCAACAAGGTGGACCTGGTGGGCGCGTTGTGTACATGTGTGTGTGTGGGTGTGCAGCGAGTCATACCCGATGCTGGTGGCGGCCAACAAGGTGGACCTGGTGGGCGCGTTGTGTACATGTGTGTGTGTGGGTGTGCAGCGAGTCGTACCCGATGCTGGTGGCGGCCAACAAGGTGGACCTGGTGGGCCCGTTGTGTACATGTGTGTGTGTGGGTGTGCAGCGAGTCGTACCCGATGCTGGTGGCGGCCAACAAGGTGGACCTGGTGGGCGCGTTGTGTACATGTGTGTGTGTGGGTGTGCAGCGAGTCGTACCCGATGCTGGTGGCGGCCAACAAGGTGGACCTGGTGGGCGCGTTGTGTACATGTGTGTGTGTGGGTGTGCTGCGAGTAGTACCCGATGCTGGTGGCGGCCAACAAGGTGGACCTGGTGGGCGCGTTGTGTACATGTGTGTGTGTGGGTGTGCAGCGAGTCGTACCCGATGCTGGTGGCGGCCTACAAGGTGGACCTGGTGGGCGCGTTGTGTAAATGTGTGTGTGTGGGTGTGCAGCGAGTCGTACCCGATGCTGGTTGCGGCCAACAAGGTGGACCTGGTGGGCGCGTTGTGTACATGTGTGTGTGTGGGTGTGCAGCGAGTCGTACCCGATGCTGGTGGCGGCCAACAAGGTGGACCTGGTGGGCGCGTTGTGTACATGTGTGTGTGTGGGTGTGCAGCGAGTCGTACCCGATGCTGGTGGCGGCCAACAAGGTGGACCTGGTGGGCGCGTTGTGTACATGTGTGTGTGTGGGTGTGCAGCGAGTCGTACCCGATGCTGGTGGCGGCCAACAAGGTGGACTTGGTGGGCGCGTTGTGTACATGTGTGTGTGTGGGTGTGCAGCGAGTCATACCCGATGCTGGTGGCGGCCAACAAGGTGGACCTGGTGGGCGCGTTGTGTACATGTGTGTGTGTGGGTGTGCAGCGAGTCGTACCCGATGCTGGTGGCGGCCAACAAGGTGGACCTGGTGGGCGCGTTGTGTACATGTGTGTGTGTGGGTGTGCAGCGAGTCGTACCCGATGCTGGTGGCGGCCAACAAGGTGGACCTGGTGGGCGCGTTGTGTACATGTGTGTGTGTGGGTGTGCAGCGAGTCGTACCCGATGCTGGTGGCGGCCAACAAGGTGGACCTGGTGGGCGCGTTGTGTACATGTGTGTGTGTGGGTGTGCAGCGAGTCGTACCCGATGCTGGTGGCGGCCAACAAGGTGGACCTGGTGGGCGCGTTGTGTACATGTGTGTGTGTGGGTGTGCAGCGAGTCGTACCCGATGCTGGTGGCGGCCAACAAGGTGGACCTGGTGGGCGCGTTGTGTACATGTGTGTGTGTGGGTGTGCAGCGAGTCGTACCCGATGCTGGTGGCGGCCAACAAGGTGGACCTGGTGGGCGCGTTGTGTACATGTGTTTGTGTAGGTGTGCAGCGAGTCGTACCCGATGCTGGTGGCGGCCAACAAGGTCGACCTGGTGGGCGCGTTGTGTACATGTGTGTGTGTGGGTGTGCAGCGAGTCGTACCCGATGCTGGTGGCGGCCAACAAGGTGGACCTGGTGGGCGCGTTGTGTACATGTGTGTGTGTGGGTGTGCAGCGAGTCGTACCCGATGCTGGTGGCGGCCAACAAGGTCGACCTGGTGGGCGCGTTGTGTACATGTGTGTGTGTGGGTGTGCAGCGAGTCGTACCCGATGCTGGTGGCGGCCAACAAGGTGGACCTGGTGGGCGCGTTGTGTACATGTGTGTGTGTGGGTGTGCAGCGAGTCGTACCCGATGCTGGTGGCGGCCAACAAGGTGGACCTGGTGGGCGCGTTGTGTACATGTGTGTGTGTGGGTGTGCAGCGAGTCGTACCCGATGCTGGTGGCGGCCAACAAGGTGGACCTGGTGGGCGCGTTGTGTACATGTGTGTGTGTGGGTGTGCAGCGAGTCGTACCCGATGCTGGTGGCGGCCAACAAGGTGGACCTGGTGGGCGCGTTGTGTACATGTGTGTGTGTGGGTGTGCAGCGAGTCGTACCCGATGCTGGTGGCGGCCAACAAGGTGGACCTGGTGGGCGCGTTGTGTACATGTGTGTGTGTGGGTGTGCAGCGAGTCGTACCCGATGCTGGTGGCGGCCAACAAGGTGGACCTGGTGGGCGCGTTGTGTACATGTGTGTGTGTGGGTGTGCAGCGAGTCGTACCCGATGCTGGTGGCGGCCAACAAGGTGGACCTGGTGGGCGCGTTGTGTACATGTGTGTGTGTGGGTGTGCAGCGAGTCGTACCCGATGCTGGTGGCGGCCAACAAGGTGGACCTGGTGGGCGCGTTGTGTACATGTGTGTGTGTGGGTGTGCAGCGAGTCGTACCCGATGCTGGTGGCGGCCAACAAGGTGGACCTGGTGGGCGCGTTGTGTACGTGTGTGTGTGTGGGTGTGCAGCGAGTCGTACCCGATGCTGGTGGCGGCCAACAAGGTGGACCTGGTGGGCGCGTTGTGTACATGTGTGTGTGTGGGTGTGCAGCGAGTCGTACCCGATGCTGGTGGCGGCCAACAAGGTGGACCTGGTGGGCGCGTTGTGTACGTGTGTGTGTGTGGGTGTGCAGCGAGTCGTACCCGATGCTGGTGGCGGCCAACAAGGTGGACCTGGTGGGCGCGTTGTGTACATGTGTGTGTGTGGGTGTGCAGCGAGTCGTACCCGATGCTGGTGGCGGCCAACAAGGTGGACCTGGTGGGCGCGTTGTGTACATGTGTGTGTGTGGGTGTGCAGCGAGTCGTACCCGATGCTGGTGGCGGCCAACAAGGTGGACCTGGTGGGCGCGTTGTGTACATGTGTGTGTGTGGGTGTGCAGCGAGTCGTACCCGATGCTGGTGGCGGCCAACAAGGTGGACCTGGTGGGCGCGTTGTGTACGTGTGTGTGTGTGGGTGTGCAGCGAGTCGTACCCGATGCTGGTGGCGGCCAACAAGGTGGACCTGGTGGGCGCGTTGTGTACATGTGTGTGTGTGGGTGTGCAGCGAGTCGTACCCGATGCTGGTGGCGGCCAACAAGGTGGACCTGGTGGGCGCGTTGTGTACGTGTGTGTGTGTGGGTGTGCAGCGAGTCGTACCCGATGCTGGTGGCGGCCAACAAGGTGGACCTGGTGGGCGCGTTGTGTACATGTGTGTGTGTGGGTGTGCAGCGAGTCGTACCCGATGCTGGTGGCGGCCAACAAGGTGGACCTGGTGGGCGCGTTGTGTACATGTGTGTGTGTGGGTGTGCAGCGAGTCGTACCCGATGCTGGTGGCGGCCAACAAGGTGGACCTGGTGGGCGCGTTGTGTACATGTGTGTGTGGGTGTGCAGCGAGTCGTACCCGATGCTGGTGGCGGCCAACAAGGTGGACCTGGTGGGCGCGTTGTGTACGTGTGTGTGTGTGGGTGTGCAGCGAGTCGTACCCGATGCTGGTGGCGGCCAACAAGGTGGACCTGGTGGGCGCGTTGTGTACGTGTGTGTGTGTGGGTGTGCAGCGAGTCGTACCCGATGCTGGTGGCGGCCAACAAGGTGGACCTGGTGGGCGCGTTGTGTACATGTGTGTGTGTGGGTGTGCAGCGAGTCGTACCCGATGCTGGTGGCGGCCAACAAGGTGGACCTGGTGGGCGCGTTGTGTACGTGTGTGTGTGTGGGTGTGCAGCGAGTCGTACCCGATGCTGGTGGCGGCCAACAAGGTGGACCTGGTGGGCGCGTTGTGTACATGTGTGTGTGTGGGTGTGCAGCGAGTCGTACCCGATGCTGGTGGCGGCCAACAAGGTGGACCTGGTGGGCGCGTTGTGTACATGTGTGTGTGTGGGTGTGCAGCGAGTCGTACCCGATGCTGGTGGCGGCCAACAAGGTGGACCTGGTGGGCGCGTTGTGTACATGTGTGTGTGTGGGTGTGCAGCGAGTCGTACCCGATGCTGGTGGCGGCCAACAAGGTGGACCTGGTGGGCGCGTTGTGTACATGTGTGTGTGTGGGTGTGCAGCGAGTCGTACCCGATGCTGGTGGCGGCCAACAAGGTGGACCTGGTGGGCGCGTTGTGTACATGTGTGTGTGTGGGTGTGCAGCGAGTCGTACCCGATGCTGGTGGCGGCCAACAAGGTGGACCTGGTGGGCGCGTTGTGTACATGTGTGTGTGTGGGTGTGCAGCGAGTCGTACCCGATGCTGGTGGCGGCCAACAAGGTGGACCTGGTGGGCGCGTTGTGTACATGTGTGTGTGTGGGTGTGCAGCGAGTCGTACCCGATGCTGGTGGCGGCCAACAAGGTGGACCTGGTGGGCGCGTTGTGTACATGTGTGTGTGTGGGTGTGCAGCGAGTCGTACCCGATGCTGGTGGCGGCCAACAAGGTGGACCTGGTGGGCGCGTTGTGTACGTGTGTGTGTGTGGGTGTGCAGCGAGTCGTACCCGATGCTGGTGGCGGCCAACAAGGTGGACCTGGTGGGCGCGTTGTGTACATGTGTGTGTGTGGGTGTGCAGCGAGTCGTACCCGATGCTGGTGGCGGCCAACAAGGTGGACCTGGTGGGCGCGTTGTGTACGTGTGTGTGTGTGGGTGTGCAGCGAGTCGTACCCGATGCTGGTGGCGGCCAACAAGGTGGACCTGGTGGGCGCGTTGTGTACATGTGTGTGTGTGGGTGTGCAGCGAGTCGTACCCGATGCTGGTGGCGGCCAACAAGGTGGACCTGGTGGGCGCGTTGTGTACATGTGTGTGTGTGGGTGTGCAGCGAGTCGTACCCGATGCTGGTGGCGGCCAACAAGGTGGACCTGGTGGGCGCGTTGTGTACATGTGTGTGTGTGGGTGTGCAGCGAGTCGTGCCCGATGCTGGTGGCGGCCAACAAGGTGGACCTGGTGGGCGCGTTGTGTACATGTGTGTGTGTGGGTGTGCAGCGAGTCGTACCCGATGCTGGTGGCGGCCAACAAGGTGGACCTGGTGGGCGCGTTGTGTACATGTGTGTGTGTGGGTGTGCAGCGAGTCGTACCCGATGCTGGTGGCGGCCAACAAGGTGGACCTGGTGGGCGCGTTGTGTACATGTGTGTGTGTGGGTGTGCAGCGAGTCGTACCCGATGCTGGTGGCGGCCAACAAGGTGGACCTGGTGGGCGCGTTGTGTACATGTGTGTGTGTGGGTGTGCAGCGAGTCGTACCCGATGCTGGTGGCGGCCAACAAGGTGGACCTGGTGGGCGCGCGCTGCGTGAGCGAGGAGGCGGGGCGCGAGCTGGCGCGCACACTCGCCGCGCCCTACATCGAGACCTCGGCCAAGGAGCCGCCGCTTAACATCGACGCTGCCTTCCACGAGGTACCCGCACCCTTTCATCTTTGCCGACTACTTTTGATCATAGCCGCTTGCACTTTGTTTCTTGTCGTTACCTATGTATTTTTCTTTCGTTTTCTTTCTCTGTTTTTCTCAGTCGCCTCTTACCACACCCACGGGACGATATTAGACGGTGGATGTTCTGACACAACACAGTGAAAAGTCATAAATCAATTATTGTGCTAGCCTACTCCAATATCTTAATGGATAAAATACAACTGGTTTAAGCCGCTGGCTGAAATACAATTTCCTGGCTGAAATACGGCTGCAATTCGACACCGCAAGCTTGCACCGATTTTTGTTCGGTTTTAATCTAATGAATGGCAAAATCGAACAATTGTTACAATTTCATACCAAATTGACATACAAACATATGTCAACCTGATGATAAGTAGCTTATGCAATCCATGGTCACCTGCAACTTACCTGAAGGAAACAAATTCGTTGTCACTCACGAGGACTAAGGCCGGACATGTGCTTGGCGACAGAAATAGGCAAGAGAGTGGTACAGATTCAGGTGCAGAAGGTGCTTTTATAGGCAGAGAAGAAGTACTACCACATAGTCAAGTTTTTGCTCGCTTCTTTGTCTGGTTTTTGTTGCTTTATGTCTTTACCAAAACTTTGAAATACCCACCCGCTCCTTGCTACATACTAATTTCCAGGGATCAACAATTTCATCAAAATCGGTCCAGACGTTTAGGAGTTCAGTAACAAACACAAATACACAAGAATTATAGTGACGGCTCCTGCGCTGGGGGCCGCGGGTTCGAATCCCGCACGGAACAAGTATTTGTATGGCCTACAAATAATTGTTCCGGGTCTAGATGTTTGTCCTTGTGCAATTTGTGTTTGTAAACTGCCTCCACGATGCAGGAGAAAATCCTAGGGGTAATGTTTTTTTTTAAGTAAAAAAACATATATCGACGATGAAGTACCAATACCTCATCTTCGTTTTTAGCGATTTTCTGATTTTAATGCAGATCGACGTAAAATAATATCTTCAACGTACTAACGAAATCTCTTAAAATATTATTTAATTATTTATGCTTTAAAATACTAATAGAAATAACTGCTATTTTAAGTATAAAATAAATCCTAACTTTACAAAAGAAATACCTTCTATATTATTTTATGCATAAAATAAGAGCGAATACCCATCAATCTGTAGCAACTTAAGTCCGTATTACCCAGTGATTGTCATAGTTTTAACGATGGTCTGCCATACTATACTTAAAATGTTAAAGATGTTAGAATTTAAGTAAAAGTTTATTGGTAATTTTTGATCTCATTGCTATTAATAACTTTATATTGTACCAGAAATCAAAAATGTTTATTTGCTTTAAACATGGTAGTACAAAGATCTTAATATAGTGATATGTCCTCATGTTTGACTTATAACTGTCATGCAAATTTAAAAGTAGTTACATTTGAATCTACTTAGAACTAAAAATAAGTTAATAGATTAAATATAAAACTAATGGTAAACATGCATCATAGACAGAACTTTACATAACATTTATAAATTGTATAATATTATGTCAAATTATTCAAGTCGTAAATAAAGTAAACACAGAAAAGCTACAAACACAATTAAAATTCAAAAATCTCTTGGTCATCTAAGTATTCCTGGACTGAATAAAAGCACCTAATCAAAAGCCAGGAATGTAACTTTCTTTTAAACAATGGTAATGACAGAGCCTTGAAACATGGATGAAGCTTATTATAAATTTTGCATGATCCTTTCTCGATGTCTGGCAAGTTTATTTTTGTATTGCCCTCTAGTGACAAAATAATGAGTGTGTTGTCGTACAAAAATACACATTTGTTTTATATACAGGCACGGTAGCGGTAGGATTCCAAGATTCTTGTAAAGGGGTTTACAGCTTTCAAGAAAATGGACTCTGCAAATAGCCCTAATACATTTCTTTTGGGCTATGAAAGCCCGGTTTACATCCACTGAACCTCCCCACAATATAGTGCTGTAACTTAATAGTGATGACACATAGCCATGGTAGGCCGATAGAGCAGTTTCAATGGATGATACATTACTGAGTCGTCGTAGCGCGTATACAAATTTATTTATTCTCGTACATAGATTGTCTATATGTGCTTTCCAGTCACAGTGTTTATCTAAAGTAAATCCAAGAAATTTAACTTCATTAACTATATCAATGGTATTACCGCAATAATCGACTAGCACATCCATTGACCTTGCTCTTTAAGTAGTAAACTGGATGCCCTTTGTTTTTTGTATGTTTATTTTGAGATTGTTTGAATGTAGCCAATTGATTAGGTTGTGTAAAGTTTCATTAATAATGACATTGGATTTTTCTATTTCGTCACATTTTATTACCACTGTGGTATCGTCTGCGAACATGAAACATTTATGTTGAGTTGCATTTGGTAAGTCGTTAATAAATATCAAAAACATCAGGGGCCCCAAGATACTGCCCTGCGGAACTCCCCATGGGTTAACGCGATATTTTGACCGGAAAGTACACTGTCTTGTTTCAACGATTGTTGCTATCTCAATACATTGCTGTCTATTATACAGATAACTTTCCAACCAGTCATAAGCCTTACCTCTAATACCATATCTATATAGTTTATCCAGTAATCTTTTATGTGGAACAAAGTCAAAAGCTTTAGTCATGTCTAAAAATAAAGCAATAAGTGGTATCTTTTGATTAATACATTCTGTGACATAATGTACCAGATTGTAGCAGGCCAACGTAGTAGAGTGACCTTTGCGAAATCCGTACTGTTCTTCTGTCAGTATATTATTTGAGTTAATAAAGCTATCAATGCGCTTGAAGATGACTTTTTCATAGATTTTAGATAGTATTGGAATAATAGTTATCGGTCTATAGTTATTCATATCACATTTATCGCCCTTCTTGTATATTGGCTTGACAATACATAACTTAAGGATATCGGGGAATAATCCCTGCTCTATTGACAAATTAATTACATGGGCAAGAGGTCGGCTTAAATCACTCGCACATGCCTTTAGTACACGTGTGTTTATGCCATCATGTCCAACTGCATTGCTGTTTTTAAGCGATAAAATAATAGAAGCTATTTCAATTTCATTGGTTGGGGTTAGGAATATTGAATTTTTATTGAATGGAATGTTGATTTTATCAGAATTTAAAGGTTGATGTTGTATTCCGATGATATGACGGACGTCAGTCTGAGCGAGATTAGAATGGCTCTCCAGCACCTTAAAAACGGCAAGGCCCCAGGCGAGGATGGAATTACAGCGGAGCTTCTGAAAGAGGGTGGAAAACCGGTACTCGAAGTCCTTCAGAAGCTCTTTAATTCCGTCCTCCATGGTGGCATTACACCGGAGGCGTGGAGCAAAAGTACGGTGGTCTTGTTCCGATATCCCTTCTAAGCAGCGTATACGTGCTGTTTTAGAGAGTCATTACGAATTGTCTCGCGCGCAAACTTGACGACTTCCAGCCTCCCGAACAAGCCGGTTTCCGAAAAGGCTTTAGCACCATAGACCACATAAGGTACGTTGGGGTAAGACCGGTGATGGGGCAAGACCGTAGGATTCAAATTCCCGGCGAATTATGCTATATTTTGAAATATGCTACACGACGCCATTTCATCCTGCCCCGACCCTCAGTTCGCGCCAGTCACTCCGGCAAGTGGGACCTGTGCTGCGTGGCATTTTATAAAACAATGTAATTTTTGTATTATTTTTGTCCATCCGATCTTTCCCTATCACTTTTATTTACGATTTTTAGCGAGAATATGGCTCCTTTTGTTATTATATTGTGTGGATACTAATTTTTATGAAGTTATAGCTAAATAAAGCTGGTCCATGCAGGGGTAAGATCGCTGTAGGCCGAGATCCGATGTTTCCCCTCGTGAGTAAAGATCGGATGAATATTATCCGATCTTTGCCTGTTACAAATATGGCAGTGGTTGTTAAACTTTCATTGGTCGTGTATATGTTTTCGTTGATTACTCAAGTGACTATGGGACTCAGTCTCGTTAGCAAGTCTGTATATTTAAAAGTAATAAAACAATACGATGGTTTTATTACTTTTAAGTACACATTAAAATACATTTTTTTTATAGGATAAGGGTGACAAAGGAGCACACAGTCCACCTGATGTTAAGTGATTACTGCGGCCCATAGACATCTATATCTATCCTCTATTACGAGTACAAATCAAAATGTAATTTATAAAAATTATTTAAAAAATAATTTATAATAATAAATGCCGCTTTGTTAAAATATTTATATCTTCCTTAACTCCTGCATTATCCCAGGGCATTTCGCCAGTCCTTACTGTTATTTTTTTCCCATATAAAATCAAATGCATCCGATCTTTCTCTTATATTGAGTAATTCCATCTTATGTCATAACAAAGTTTGAGAAACATAAAATTACAATTTCTTTATATCAGGGATAAGATCGGATGGCAAAAAACAAAAAAAGAGAAAATCGTTTGGAACATTTATGCTTCTAGTAATTTATAGATCATATTGAAATATGTTTTTGAGCGTTAAATATAGGACAAATCTCTTTTATAAACTTTTTTCTCTAAGCAGTAGAAGTGGTTTTAAATTTAAGTCCGGTCTTACCCCTTAATGGCCAATTTTTCATTATGCATATAAAAAAGTATGTCTAGTTTTCGCACACCTTTAAAGCAGAAACCGTTGAGTTTACACAAGCAAAAGATTCTCAGAGCTGAACTACGTTTAACGATTAACGGTTTGCTCCAGGTTCCATAAATCTGACGTATACGAATGTCGAGAAATTAAAGTTTTTGGCAGACTCTTCCAACTATTCGAAAATCCGTCCGGTATTACCCCAACGTACCTTACATACCCTACAGCAAATTGTACAGAAGTCCGAGGAGTACAATTTGCCACTATGTCTGGCGTATGTTGGCAATAAGAAAGCCTTTGGTTTCGTCGAAATTTGGGCGGTGCTGCAGTCCCTTCAGCGGTGTCAAGTTGGCTTT